TGTTGTTGTTGTGGTGGTGGTGGTCATGAACCAACAATGAATAGTCAGCATTCATCATACTAATATTGATATGTAATACCAATATGAATATTGATACTTAGTAAGTGGTCATGTGCTAGAACTTAGGATTTGCGCTAATATGCTTGCAAGGTTGCTCGCCTTGCTTGCAAGATTACTCACGGCTCAAGATTCCTGGTTTTAGGGGGGTGCACGGCTTGGATTCGGAGGCACGGTTCAGGGTTTGGGTTGAAGTTTAAGCGGAAGGTTTAGGTGAGGAGGAGAGGCTCACTGAGCATCTGATGCAAAATCCAGTCCTGCAAGGAGACGTACATCTCACCGAGTACTGGCAGCTTGCAAGGTCGCAGCACACGCCACGCCTGTTGAAGCTCCCAACCCCTAAACCCTAAAGTTTCCCTAAAGCCACCAAACCCTTAAACCCTAAACTGAAACCCTACAATCCTTAGGCCCTAAACTGAAAGCCCATAAATCCTTGAACCCTAAACTTATCTGAAACCCTTAAGCCCTAAACCTCTTTGCCAACAATCCGGGCCAACTCCCCCTTGAGGCCCCCGGCTGCCCACAATGCCCAGACGCTGGCCCTGCATGGCCAGATGAACCAGGAGCAGCCCGTCCAGCGCTGATCCTGCTTATGGGGTTCAGGGTTCATATAGGGGCCTTATAACAATTCGAATAGGGTTTTGGGGATATTCTACTATAACTTGTGTAAAGATCCCCAAAACTAGTATTGGTAGTTATCGGGCTTAGGGTTCATATGGGCGGTCTATGAATACGATCACGTTCAGCAGTTGCTTTTGAACGACGAGTTATTAGAAGACTTTTATATTTTGTTTGGTACGCATAAGGACAGAATAGTCATTGAAATTCNNAATTCCTGTGGATGGGTCTTAAGAAAGAATTTCTGAAGAAAAAACAGTTAAAGAAATAACAACTATAAATATTGAAAGGAAAATGGATTATATGGGTTTAAATACATATTAAATACAAGCGAAGTATATCAAGAAGATATATGAAATGAAATTACATGAAATAAATTACTTAACTAAAATTAAGGAGTTATGTAAGTTGCTTAACGTTTATGAAAGTGTTTTTGACCAAGAAGATGTCTTGAATGTTAGGCGTGATATATCTATTTTGGAAGCTAAAATCGAAGAAGATTTAAAAAAAATAATTAACAAATATTTTGACTTAATTGAACATCTTGAAATACTTTGTCAGAATGGGGGAAGCAAAGACACTAAATATTTAGATGTGAAACCAAAGAACGCTGTCAATTGGGTTAATAAAAGTATTAAGGACATTGAAAAGGAGTATGGCGACCTAATCAATCCTAAATAAAAAAAACCAAGAAAATTATTATTTGTTGAAATAATATTATTCTTGTTTCTTATTACAACCTTTACCCCAAACCTAAACCCCTATTATAGATAAATTATTTGAGATGACCATTTCCATTTTCGCGCGTTAGGGACTTGGGGTTGGGAATATGAGTTTTTTCTATGGGGCTTTTTCCTATGGGTCTTCTGGTGGTTCCAGGATAGGAATATTGTATGGTTCTTTGGTGAGGTTGGGGTTGAGGTATAGGTTGTTATGGTTTTGGGTCTTCAGGCGAGTTATTCCTAGGGTTCTACCTATGGGTCTTGGATGGGTTAAAGGTTGAGGTATAGGGGATAGGGGGGGTTGCATGGTTAGAAATTGGAAATGGTCATCACTAACTATATCAGGGGGCCTAAGCTTCTTGCCCGCCGGGCTGCCGCTTCTTTGTTTGTCTGTTCTGCCACTGTCTGCACGGAGTCTGTACGTAGGTCTGTAAGACTGCATGCATGCATTTACATAGAGGTACATGCTAAGTACATTAGGTACGACAACGTATGTTGCTGTAACGCTCTATGTATTTGCAGGTGCCTGTGTGCGCATGGGTATGATGGCAAGCTTACACATCGCAGTCCCTGTGTGCCTGGCATTCTAGATCTGTCATCCTTAAGCCCTGAACACTCAACCGGCTGGCGCTGAGCAGATTGTGGGCGCACATGCAAGCCGCCTGCAAAAGAGCATTTTCCTTCGCAATGCGTCTTGCTGTGCCATTGGGAACCAAGCGAACTCGAAGATGGTGGCGAAAGTGACCTAAACCCTAAACCCTAA